TATTCTTCTGGTGAATACTTTTTTTTACATGCCCAATCTGTTTTTATGCCGTAGTGAGAAATCGGATTTATTCATTTCGCCTTTGTTGCCATTGCATACTGTGTCTAGTGGCAATATTTGGTGACACTTTTATAGATACCAGCTAGTAGTCGTCTACTTGACTGTCCGGAATTTCTTGGATTAAATTGCACGATAACTTGCATGCTTCTTTCTCTCTCAATCGCTCATGAGCTAGGTTAAAACCTAGACTGTTTTGCGCTTCTGTCTTCTTTTCCAGAGATCTGCTGCTGTAAGAAAAAAGGGCGTCTTCCGTTAGATTCGCACGATATCCAGTGGCGAATTTATTCGGAGTATAACTGAAAAACCAGAAGCAAGATACAATAAAATCTTCCAATGATTGGGCTGCTTTCCTATCATGCACACTCTGAGTGACCCCCATTTCTGTCCATTCCCGTCTAACGATCGGCAGGCTGCCTCTTGTTATTTTACTCACTGATTGTCGTATTTCCAATTATCCCATCATTCATCCGGTATATCGATTCTTGTTTTTCGTCCTACTTTCACCGACTTGCTCTTTTGGAGCATTCCGCCATCTCGAACCATTTTCTCTGACACCTTGTCTACTTTGTGTTCCGTTTGTAATTATGCTCAATGCGACCTTCAAACTTTCCTAATCGGCTTCTCATATATGGATGATTATGTTGTACATTTGATCATGCCTATGCATGCTTCAGGGGTCTCCGTAAAATATACACTGATTATTATTATTATAGAACGCTTAGAATTGTGGTGCGGCATCCGGAAAGGAGGAATGCCACATCAATTGGTCCTATTTTTAACGTTGAGCGGCTGAGAGCTGTATTCCCTGGTGAAGAATTTAGCTTTCCCGAATGTTCCTACTTAATTGCCGTTCGAGAAGTTGAAATCCCTATTGCTCAATGTTCAGACGCTTGGGGATGGTCAGTGGAGTGTAAATATATCTTACGTGATTTGATTCGCTGCATTACCAATTGTCCTGCTTTCACCATCCAAACTTACCATACTAATCACGGATGCGTGCGACGGCGGAATCGATGTTGTATTAGAAAAAGATGATGATCGGCATTTCACGTCTACTTAATGCGACTGAAAAGGGATACTCGCAGACACAAAAGGAATCGTTGATTGTATTTTGGGCTGTTTGACGATTGCACACGTACGTTTTTGAATTGCGGTTTACCATCACCACTGATCACTAAACGCTACAGCTTTGTTCAACCCAACAATTTCATCGCGAAGTCCACTGCTGCTAAGCTACAGAAGTGGAGCATCTCCCTAGCCGTATGCAACTATGACATCCAACATTGTCCAGGAAAGGTATTTAAAGTGGATAATACGCAGGCACTCATCCAGCATGTTGCTCCCGGCACGAGGTTCAGAGCTCAGCAAGAGCCATCCCTACTGGATCTCTTCATTTCCAAAAGGGAGCAGGATGAAATCAGTGCCACTTGATATCCACCGATCGGAAGAAGGTACCACCTCCTCATCGGGGTCGACATCCGGACAAAGCCACCCGTACGTGGATTACGGATGCACAGGGCTTTTGGCAGAATTAATGGTCGGCTCATCAGGAAGACTGCTTAATTCCCTCAACCCTGCCACTGCCCTTATACCCTCGCCTTTTAGGGAAGATAGACGACCCACCAACCTTCCCAAAACCTCATCTCCAAAGTTGCATTCTCAACACACACGCTCTGTCATCGATCGGCCAAAAGTAGAAATTAATCATCCCATTGGCATGTCAAATCAACGCCATCAGTCACATCCCCGCACGTACAACAAACGTCCACACTATAATGCCACCTCCAGCTATGAACCCTAGACCA